CTGGAGGGCTGAGCGCCCCGGGGTGAGGTCGGGCCGCAGCCCGGCCCGCGCTGCGCAGCGTGACTGTCGTGATTGCGGGAGAACGTTGTGCGGCAACCGCGTGTCCTGCTCTCTGCCTTCGTGAAACTTGCCGCGCTCAGAAAGTACCGTGTTAGGACGTCCGTTCGTCGTCCCTCCCGAATGTTAAGTCCGTAAGAACAGGGCGCGCGTCTGTCATCACCTTGCCCTCCGAGTCTGAAAGATGCCTGGCCGCGGAAGGCCCAAGGACTTGAGTGAGTGAATGACCGTCATGAGTTTCCAGAAATCTGGTTCCGCGGTTCTCAAACGTTTCGGTCTCGGAACCCCTTTGCACTAAAAAATTATTAGGACCTCGAAGAGCTTTTTGTTTGTGGAGAATATACATTTGTTGGTGAAGAAATTAAAACGGAGGGAAAAGTTTTAAATGTATTAATTCGTTTTTATAGATATTAAAAAAAAATTATTGACTTTAGAGAGAGGAAGGAAGAGAGAGAGAAATAATGAGAGAGAAACATCCATCGGGTTGCCTCCCACGTGTGCCCGGAACCTGCAGCCTGGGTAGGTGCCCCAGCTGGAATCGAACCCGCCACCTTTTGGTGTACTGGATGGGCTCCAACCAGCCGAGCCACACTGTCCAGGGCAATGTATTAATTCATTTAAAAGTAACAGTAATAAACCCATTACAGGGTATGGTGAGAGCAGTGATACCACATATCATGTAGTTTCGGGAAAACACTGTACACTCGTAGAGAGAGTGAAAAGAGAGAACTAGCTCGGAATATTGTGCAAATAAATAGTCTTGACCTCTGAAAGGATCCCAGGAACCCTGGGGACCACTCTTTGAGAACCTCAAATCTAGCTTAAGTTCCTCCTTTTATATGTAGGAGGAATGAAGTCCCCAGAAGTAATTTAAAGAGCACGGTGCTACCACGTGATGGGGACAGTTCTGAAGCCAGGGTTCTACTGTTGCTAGCCCAGGGTTATATAATTATGTTTTCCCAAGCAAAGAAGACAACATCTCCATTTAAAAGATAAGAAAGCTGAGGAACTGAGAGCCCAAGGAGATGCCTGATTACCACCACCATCTAATGGTGGACACCCGCTGCCTCGGGGTTGGGATTCAGAGCCCCCCACCTCTTTTTGGGCCTCCCATCAGGGCCTCATCTCCTGGTGCCAGGCCCTGTGACTGGGTGGGGGCTAACCAAGCTCAAGGAGTCTGGCAGGGAAGACAAGGATGTGTAAATACATAAAAATAGAAGTATGGACACAGGGTCACATTTGACTAGATCCTAATGTGTGCTGTTTGTTGAGTGGGCCTGTTAAGTGCTATAAGGGACAGAAATGTTCCTGAGGACTGATGCCGTAAGGGAGAGCCTCATGGAAGAAGTGAGGTTTGAAATGGGGGGAGATGGAGGCTCTGGTGGCTGGGAAATGAGGCAAGAAAGCAAACCTCTACAAGCTGTCAGCTGGAGCAGAGCAGTAGCAGTGGCTGCAGACATGAGTCTGACCACACAAATTTTATGAGCCAGGCAAAAATCCCTATGGACAAACTCAGATGAACTGTACACAGCACGTGTTCTGTTCATGTTACGTGACCACACATCTGACTAGAGACGGCTATAAATGCTAGATAGCTAATAAGAAAAAGAGGGCTGGAACCACACAAGGACAGAATGCACCCAGCTAGTGGGAGCTGGGCAGTTTGCAAGAGAAATGGAGGGAAACACCATTGAAAGAATAAAGGATTAGAGGGTGGTTCAGGACAAGAAATGGTACAAGCCTGTGCTGAGTCTGAAACTCATCACCCTGTCCCTGGTTTATTGTGTCCTGACTTCCTTCCCGTCTCTCCTCCTCAGTCCATTCAGTCTAATGTGCTGTTTAATTTTCCTATATCCCCTTTTCCACCTGGCACTCTCCAGATCAGAATGTTCCATGGCTCTGAATTATCAGAACAAAATCTCAAGGTCCCAGTTGGTCATTTTAATCCTGCCACAATATGGCCCCGATACACTCTTTTAGTGTCATCCCCAAGCACTCCTCCCTGAGACCCTTGTTAGATGGTTTTGCTCAGTCATCTAAACAAAAAGCAACAGGTTTCCCCAGAGAATTCTAATTTATCTAATTCCCAGTTCTATGCTTTTCATCCCCGCACCATATTATCATGGCATATAAAATTCAGCTTAACCTAATTTACCACCCATACATTGATCAACCACACCCCTTCTGTTTCCCATGGAGCTGAGATCTTAATTGGAGGTAAAGTGATTAGAAGTTTCCTCATTTTTGTAAGATCCCTGTTTGGGGTATGTTATCTTTTGGAAAGTGGTAATTATTTCCCAACACTCCTGTTGTTCCCAACTATAGATATATTTATGAAAGAAGATTCTGTCTTAGATAGAAATCAGGACTTCAAATTATAAACTTCACATGCACGAGAGAAGCAGCCCCAGAGAAGAATCCCACCTATTTTTACTAAGGCTTACTTTGAAACCCACATTTTAGAAAATGACAAGCATGGTAGGATTAAAACTACTTTGAACTTCCATACAATAGCCTTACCAAATTTTATTTTATTTTTAAAAAATATATCTTTATTGATTTCAGAGAGAGGAAAGGAGAGGGAGAGAGAGAGATAGAAACATTAATGATGGGAGAGTCATTGATAGGCTGCCTCCTACATGCGCCCGACTGGGGAATCGAGCCCGCAACCCGGGCATGTGCCCTGACTGGGAATCGAACCCCTATCGCCTGGATCCTAGGTCAACGCTCAACCGCTGAGCCACACCCGGCAGGGCCTTACCAGATTTTAGAGCTTGAAAGGGGCTTGGTTACAGTGAAAATATTATCATAGAACAAACAATATTTTTATAGGCATGTCTGATTGGCCATGGAAATAGCATCCTTAAGACAATATGGAATTCATATTCAGTTTTTAGCCTGTAAAAGAATAAACAGGAAATCATAAATTTAAAAACAAAAAAAAGTTCAACCTCATACAATAGACAGTAAACATATGTAAATCATTACCCCCTAAGAGGTAGCACATGCTTCATAAAGAGTTTAGGTAAATTCACCATTTCAGATACACTCTGAGCTAAAAGGAACCAGGACATGGGTAGCCGTGAGTGGGGCTGCTGAAGAGAGAAGGCAGAGCTCGCACTAATAATTGAGGAACTAGGTGGTTCTCTTACTACTTGTCCCTTGGAGCAATCATCATTCATCAGAATGGAATGATGGTTTAGGGGACTGTTACCTAGAACCAAAATTCATATGGTGTTATCAAGTGCAAAATCTGCTGTGATAGTCTACCCCAGCTGAATGCCCGGGCTCTATATAACACCCCCTGGTGGCTGTGACTAGCATTTAAGTGCATACCTTTTTCTTCCTTTTACTGGTAATTTTAGGTTTCTTGCTAATTTTCCAAATAGACCTGAAGGTGTCTGAAGAGATCTGAGGAGTGACTGTAATTTTTAAGACTGGGAGTTTACCTGAGAGGGGAAAGAACATAATAGTAAATGTGTAGGATACCTCACAACTCCATTTGATGGACTGGGTCTTAGGCTTCTGAAAGGACCATTCTCCCACATTCTTACTAACTGGGAAACTTTCCCCACACTTACCCTTTCCCTATATCCTCTTGATGTGAGTGACTCATGACAATTTATTTCTTCCACTAGTCCTCTCTTTTCTTTTCCCACTGTTACATATTTTACCTATGGTTGTGGTAGCCTTCTAACGAGTCTTCCTAACCCCAGATTTCCCCAATGTCAAATCCATCCTGGATTCTACTTCCAGTTTAATCATCTGAAAGCAAAATTCTGATCCTGGCATTTATCAGCTCTTTATCTTTAGTGGATCTCTCTTGTTTCTGCTTGCCCAGCTTCCATTTTAGCTTCTTTCTGGAACAGAATCTTTTTTTCTTTCCTTAATATATCTTTATCGATTTCAGAGAGAGGAAGGGAAAGGGAGAGAGAGAGAGATAGAAACATCAATGATGAGAGAGTCATTGATCGACCACCTCCTACACGCCCCCAACTGGGAATTGAGACAGAAACCTGGGCATGTGCCCTGACCGGGAATCAAACCACGATCTCCTGGATCTTAGGTCGATGCTCAACCGCTGAGCCATGCCCAGCCGGGCTGGAACAGAATCTTGAGTGTCCTTTGTGGTTCCATCGCCCTATCCTACAGGGGTGAGCACATAACTCAGAGCAGGCGACTTAGTGTATTTCTTTTCCCTGCACAGTGATTGGTTAACAGGTGTGCATGTGACTCATGATGGCCTAATGAAATCAGGGGGAAGGCTCTTTCTTGAGATTAAACTAGCAGAATGTAAACTTCTGGCTAATGCTACCCAAATTGTCACTGTGTGGGAAGAACTTACCTGAGACTAAGTCAACACAGATGAAGATCTTCCAGGAGATGGAGGTAGGTAGCATTATTTGAAGTCCTGAATCCAGCTGTAGCTGTAGCTAGAACCACCCCTGGACTTACATGAGTCAACAAATTTTTGTACTTAAATCAGTTTGAGTTGGTTTTGTATCACTTGAAACCAAAAATTCTGACTGACTTCTTATAAAGGCCTGTGATATCATGATTTATAAGAAATATATATTTGGCCATTCAGATGACCGTACCCTTGGAATTTCCCGAGTAATAAGAGAAGTGTGAGTATCTTTTGTTATATTTGGTCCCTTGTTCCCAGTTCCTCAAACCTGCTTCAGAGACATCAGGGTGAAATGGTGTCTTGTTCATAACAAGCCCCTTTCAACCACAATTGAGTTTATGCTAATGAGGTGACTCTTGGGAATCCCCTAAGAATGGGTTCTGGTTGCCAAAGGAACCAACCATGAACAGAGGGTTGGAACTTTTAGTCCCACCCCCAGATAGAGGATGAATCAATCAGTAATGGCCAATGATTTAATCAATCATGTGTATTTACGTAATAAAGCCTCCATAAGGAGCCAAAAGGAAAGAGTTCAGAGAGCTTACAGGTCAGGCACCCGAATGCTTCCACATGCCACAGCGAAGGCCCAAACTCCATGAGGATGGAAGCTCCTTCGTTTGGAATCTCACCCTAGGTATCTCTTTATCTGGCTGCTGATTTATATCTTTTGTAATAAACTGGTAATCTAGTGAGTAAACTGGTTTCCTGAGTCCTGTGAGGGGCTCTACCAAATTAATCAAGCCCAAGGAGGGGGTCATGGCAACTCCTGGTTTATAGTCAGTTCAGAAGCACAGGTGACAACCTGAACTTGCAATTGATGTCTAAAGTGGAGAGCAGTCTTGTGGGACTGAGCCCTTAACCTGTGGGATCTGATGCTATCTCCAGGCGGATAATGTCAGAACTGAGTTGAATTGTAGGACATCCAGATGGCGTGACTAGTACAGCATTTAGGAATGAGTGGATGTGTACAGATGGAGGGGAACACAAACTGAAAACACTCTACCTGTCTTTCTGGCTCTCAGTGCTTCAAGGATGTCAACAGCAGCCACTTCTCCAACCACATTGTTTCCAAGGTCAATTTCCCTTAAGTGGGCAGAGTATTTGATCAGGCTGACCAAAGGAAATGACAAAACAAAATGGCATTGTTCCAAGCGTGGTTACTCAGAGAAACTCAATCCAGTTATTTTGGAATGTGATCTTTCTTTTTAGGTCCTCTTCATCCCCCACCCCTTCCGAAGATGATTCACTGACCCAGTTTGAAACTGAACTGAAGACATTCTGAATCCAATTTTTTCCAGTTTAATCTCTAGTTTGGACGCTTATTCTAAGCAAGTTGGTAGGATAAGGATTTTTAAATGCTTTAAACCTTCCATTTATTTATTTATTCAAAACATGGTATAGTATTGTTAGGGCTTCCCAGTCTTTTAGATTTTATAGAGCAGTAAAATATAAAAAAACCTGGGGGGACTGAGAAAGATCATCTTGGCAAATTTTGGTATGTCAAATACTAAACAACTCTCACCTAGCAACACTATAAAAGAACAAATATTTTTACATAAAATTAGGAAGGCCAAAGTCTTGAAATAAAGGATAGCGTTTTAAAGCAAGTAAGTGTAGCTTTATGAAAAATGAACACTCTACCTGTCTTTTATTTTTCTAATTTCATTGAGGATTATTGGGCCAACTTGTCTTTGGGAATCCCTTGCATCCTAAATGGACATGGAATCTGGGTGAAGGCCTGGGTTGCTAGCCAGCTTCTACCTCTTGTTAACCATGTGATCACGAGCAGGCCATGTGCCCTCTTGGGTCTCTCCTTCCTCAAGTGTAAAATTGGCCTGAAAAGGGATGTTTTGTCTACTTCATAAGGTTGTGGTAAAAACAGAATGCAGCAGTACCTATGAAAACGTTGCAAAATGGAATACCATCAGTGCTATCATACTGAGTACATACCTACTACATGCATTTTATTATGCGCCTAACATTGCAGGGATTAAAAGGAACTTAACACATGGCCTCTGCTCTTGGAAGAGCCTATAAATAAAACAATTTTGAATTCTTACTATGTGCTGGGGACATGAAATTTCAGTTAGGGTCAATAGTGAGTACAAGGTGATGCTTTTGCTCCCTGTACACACTTTCTACTGATTCTGCAGCCAGAATTCAAGGCCAGGGCTAAAGGACTCTGCCAGAGTCTCCCTCTTGAAGGTCTTGCTCCCAAGGAAACAGTCTGTCTAACCAGGACTTGACCAGCTTTGGCTTTCTGAATGGCCTGATTGTGTCCAATTCCTTCATACAAGATAGGCAGGAACAGGCTTGCTGCAAGGAGGAAGCAGGGGAGTGCAGAAGGAGGGCGGAGAGTGTTGAAGACACACTTTACAACTCCACAATTCTGCTTCAAGGTCTGATTTCGGACACCACGGGTTTAACCACTGCACTTCACAGTCTCACATGAGCTATGATTTGAAGGAACTTTCACTGTGTGTCAGTTGTGATCATGACCACCCTCATGTTTACATCCTTGTGCCTGGCACAAAGGGGCCTCCCAAGGGTGTGAGTGGGGCTGAAATCCAGCCAAGTCCTGCTTGCCAAGTTCTGGGCCCGGAGACATAGACTTGGAAGGGGTAACTTCCTCTGACTCATAGGCCAGAGGTGGTGCCTCCTTTAATTCATCTGCCCAGAAGGGCTCTTTTTCCAATTTGTATAAAGGTGCTAGCTGGCACCCTAGGCATTGTATTTAGCACCTTACGTATACAATCTCATGTAACCCTAAAACAGTCTCTTGAGTTAGATACTGTTATCCCCATTTTTACAAATGAGGAAACAGATACAAAGACGTAATTTAACTTGCCCAAGATTATACTGCTAGTAAATCGTGGAGCAGAAATGTGAATTCAGGCAGCCTGCTCAAGAAAAACCATGAAATATGATTCAAATATACCAAGAAAATGTTTTAATCTCCAGTAGTCCTCAATTCTTATACTTTCAAAATGAGAATAAAAAGATTTAAGTGTTTAGTGTCAGAACTAAAGACACATGGGGAAGGGATTCCCAGTGCTGGTGCTCGTTAGTGATGTTTACATGCCCAGTTACACGGAGCCGGCAGTTAGTTACTGCAGGGGGCCCGTGCTCAGAGGGCGCCTCACTTGGCTTAGTGCTCTGCTCTTGTCATCTGGACATTCTTAATATTTGAACAAGGGCTCATGAGTTTGCATTTGTACCGAGTCCTCACAAATTCTGTAGCCAGTTCTGCTGTCATCTTTAGTGGCAGAGCAGAAAGCAAAATCTGACCAAGGGTTGGCACCACAGACTATTGCTAGACAAATCCTACTAGAGGGAGGCCTGGGTAACAAGAAGTGTAACCAGCAGGGTTCCTGCCTTAAGCTCAAAGAAGCCACTGATACCAGCTTTAGGGGTGGACTTAAGCAGCAGAGCTAGGTAAGGGCTCATCCAAACCAAAGGCATGATGTGGCTTGTCCCCGGATGAGCTAATCTGAAGGTGAGGATAGACCCACGTGGTACCAAGGTTGGATAGGGCCAATGGGTATGGGTTAGTGCCCCATAATCTCTATCACCAAATCTTACCCCAATATAAATGTATATGCATATGCCACCATCAGTACATATTCTAGTAAGCAGGCCCCTGGAGATGACTTTGCTGGCAAGCTCCCGGATAAGTCCCTTGCCTCCCCATTTATCCACTGAGCTCCTCCTTTGTGGATACTCAGGACTCTAGATAATAAAAGGTGAGAATTCATAAATCTGTTCCCCAAAGTGCTCCTGGAGCCTGTTTGATAATCTTTCAATTTGCTCTACAGCTGGCCCAGAACTGGGCTTGCAGGGAGGTGGGGGGGTTATGAAGACGGTGCTTCTACTTCCAGGGCACCAGCCTGTCAGCCCTGCAAAGAGGGGCAGAAGGAAAGTGAGTGTTGGGCCTGCAAAGGTGGAAATGGGGGGCGTGGGCGGGGGTGGTCTGTCCTCTAGGTGAGCATGTAGCTCACTACACAAGTCACACCAGGAAGTCACCAACCACCAATAGAGGGGTGAGGTGGAAAAGGCCCAGAAGAGATGAACGAACCAGCTCTCTCTTCCCGCCTAAGGAGGCAGGGACAACTTCGTAATCAAACACAAAGGACTGTGCACTCTTAAGTAGTCTGCCTTTCTTCCTTAGGTCACATTCCTTACATTTTCTGTTATATCTTGACTTAGGGAAGACAATTCTGGATGTCATACCTCCTGTCTTTCCTCAGTTGCCAACTTCTTAAGTGAGCTTCTAGTGAGGTCTTGGAGACCCTTAGGACTTTAGGCCTTCCCTTATGATCTCCTCCCAAGACCAAGATGGTCACTGCTTGTTAAAAAGTTGCGATTAAATAACTGTCCCCATGATTTATCCCAATCACCTAGTTTTGGAAGAGGAACAAATAAAACCTCTTAAATTTCTGCTCACCATGTTAAGATTTGAGTGAATTCCAACAAAGCGTTTTCTCCTCCATTCCCTTTTCCGTCTATGCCATTATCTGCCAAATATAATTTCACTAACCAAGGACCAGCTTCAGCCAAACCTTTCATTTTTTTCTTGGTCCCTACGAGAAAATTAGAGTGTTGTATTACTTTTAGACAATACTCCCTTCGTTACAACCATCTAAGTTGGTTTTTAAAAATAGTACTTAACATATTTCACTTGTGTGGGTAGAGGCATTTTGTAATATAGTTAAGGAAATATAATTTAAGAACTTTTAAAAAATACTCAGTACATCTTTTGTTCTTTACAATAGCAAGCCCCAAATTGCTTTTAATGAAAGGAAACCTCATTGAAGATTTAGATTGCTGCCTTTACTTTTGCCAAAGAGGAAAATCGATGTCTTTGGAAACTTCTTGGTAGAAGAGTATGTTGTCCACTGATCCTGGGGAAGTGATAGCCCTAGTGTAGCTAGTAATGCCTTGAGATTCATGAACATGCATAGAATGTGATTTTTCTACTTATCAGATCTCTTCACAAATACAAATGCCTTTGAAAAGTTAAGGTTACTGCCCAGAATGATAAACGACGTGGCTGCTGATGGCATGTGGCACTGTTTCTTTCTGCCCCCTTCTGGCACACCAGCAAGCAGCCGTGATGAAACCTGAGGCCAGTGGGGCCCAGGCCAAAGGCCACATTCCTGTGAGAGGAGAGAAGCGCCTCAGCCAGTCTACACGCCCCAACTTAGCCAACCTGGCACGAGCGGGTGCCCTTGGGGAGGGAGGGGGCTTCCAGGCCCGTCACTGGCCTGGTACAGCTCACATCCCTGCGGGAAAGACGATCCAAATCTCCCTTCAACTGGTGGTAAGGGAGGTAACAATGTGATCTTCGCCCATGAAAAGTGACCAGGTTGGAAAATGCTAGTTCAAACCACTCTCCAGAATTTTGACCTCCAGTGAGTCACAGTGCCCATGAGAGGGGATGAAGGCTGGTGCTGCTTAGTACAGGGACTTCCTTTTCCAGGCCTTTAACCAAAGTTCAAGTAAAACAAGATTTTTTTCTCCGGATGGAAAACAATTTCCTTGGAGTGAGGGTGAGTCCATGCTCAACCCCCGGTAATACTTGACCCATCCCAGCTGTATTCACCTCAACCTATTTTTACCTAATCTTACATTCCTTTACTTTAAAACAAAAGCAAGTTCACCAACAATGAGCACTTTAATTTACTCACCTCTGCCTCAGAGAACTTAGCAGTGGCATAGCAATGCCAACTCTGCTAAGAGGCACAGTAAAATAGGCAGAATCTCCGGGTTTAAAATCTCTCTCTGAAAAGTGCTGTGCGACTCCCCAGGAAGTTACCTAACTTCTCTGAACCTAAACTGCCTCATTGCTGAAACAGAGATAATAATACTCATGTCTTAGATGCATTGTAAAGATGGACTGGGAAGCATGGTGAAATAATCGTTGCAGAGGCACTTAGTATGCAGTAAATAATATGGCCTAGCTTCCCAGTTTCATTTCTGGATTTTGTAAGTCACTGAAACACTGGAATGGGGGCAACCTGGTGGGGAACCTGCATGTGTAAGCAGTCTCCCCATCTGCACTGGCTTCCTGAAGATCAGATACATATTCCTGACAACTGCACGTCTCCCCTGGAAGCCACCCCATAGATCCAATATGAACTCACCCAACTTTGTGCTTCCTCTTTGGTTAACTGCAAAGACCTCTCAACTGTCCCTGACTTCAGAATCATTCTTACCATCCTCATTGAACTCAATACTAGGTGTTGTCAATTCTCCTCCTAAATATTTTTAGACTCTGTCCATCTCTGCAGTCTCAGCTCTGTATTTTTTCCTCTCTTCCCTGAGCTGTTGGAAAACCTCCAGACTCATCTCCCATTGTCCATTTGTCCCTTTCTCTAAAATATATTCTGCAAAGCTGCCTGAGATTCTTTTCAAGAGTCTAATTCTCATTATGTCATTGCCTTGCTTCCAACACATCGTGGCTTTAACTTTGCACACAGGACAAAAGCTAACTCTTACTACTGTAAGTCCACTGGCCTTTCAGCAACATCTCCAGTCATTCCCCTAGTGACCATTCTGTGGCAGATGTCATGCTTCCCACATGCCCAGCGCTCCACACTCCAGGCACTTTCACCTCGGACCTTTTGTCACTTGACTCCCTTTGCTTAGAATGCCCTTTCTTTTCCAGTTGATGAACCTCTTCTCATTCCTTCTAGAGAGAGCTCTTTTCCCCATGTGGGTCAGCACCCAAAGGTTAAGTACAAATTTTCATGGAACCAGAAGTTCCCCAGAGAAGATTCCTCAGCTTGTCCCTCACTCTTGGGCCTCTTCTGGGACCATGAGAATAGCTGAGCATCACGCATTTTGGTGGGTTTTGCTTAATGATTACTCAAATGTTCATCTGTGGATGCCAGGTCCTGGTAGGACCTTCTTCTTGAGGTTGATTTTGTTTTAAACTTGTTAAAAATAGCTTTTTTCCATCAACAAGAAGCATATGTGATTGCCTGTGTAACGAATGACCTGAGGTTTATAAGCCAGACTGTAAATTGTGTTTGCTTGATTGCAGGTCTTAAGAAGGCAAAGTATAATTAGTGTTGGGTGATTCACACCTCAGACCTTGGAACCTGTCCACAAAGGTTTCCACTGTTTAGCATCACCCCAGGATAAAATCCCAAGTAAAGTAATTTCAGGATTATGACCAGTAACTTCTTGATTTGGAACTAATAAAGCTGTTTTGAAGATTACATCTTGACTTTGGAACTTGACCTTTGAATTCCTTAATGCAGCTAGCATGCCTGTGGACTGTGGCTATGATATCAGCAGAGGTGCCATAGTTGGGGGAAGTGAATTTGCCACTTGGACAGCATTGGTACTGAGGTAAATGTCTAATCCATCCCAAGCTTGTGGACTGAGCATTTTATGGTTGGACTTTGCTTCTCAGTCTTAAATCCTTAAGGATGAAGACACCTCTGAAAGCTGTGGTGTGGAGCTTGGGCTGGGACGCTGAGCATGCTTAGGTGATGGGGCACCCCTGAGTCTTTGCTGGGTCTTTCAGGAACTTTAGGGACCTTGGGGTGACATCACAGGATGAGCTGAATGAGCTCAGGGAAGATAACTTCTCTGCAGGTAACTGTTCCTGATGACCTTTCAGTCTTTAGCCATTTTCTGGCTCTTTTTGGGCCTGATGAGCCTGGGACTAGGCATAGGCCAAGCCAGATGTCACTCACTTGGGTGTTGACATCATCCAGGCCCAGGGTCCCCAGTTGTCATTGAGCCCTGGTACAGAGCCCTGGGGCTAAGAGGTGAGTCAGACAGGGTCTGGAGGAGACAGAGAAGACAGAACAGAAATGGGCCTGGTGCCCGGCTGGGCTTTGCTCAGCGGTGGAGCATCAGCCTGGGATCCAGGAGATCAGGGTCCAATTCCCGGTCAGGGCACATGCCCGGGTTGTGGGCTTGATCCCCAGCAGGGGCCGTGCAGGAAGCAGCCGATCAATGACTCTCTCATCATTGATGTTTCTCTCTCTCCCCCTCTCCCTTCCTCTCTCTGAAATCAATAAAGATATAAAAAAAAAAAGAAAGAAATGGGCCTGGGCCCTGTTTGTTCTGTGGTTTCCATGGCAGAGAAGAGGCATCTAAGAGCCTCACTCTGCCCTCGGATTTTCTTCACCGAGCAAAATAAAACAAAAGTAGGCAATGTGATTTCCTTTTAAGGCTAAAGCAGTGGTGGTTCTCAAAGTTAGACCCTGGACTGAGAGCATCGACATCACTTGGGAGCTTGATAGAAATTCAAATTCTCCAGCTTTACTTCTGACCTACTGATT